CCGTACGTTCTCACAAACTTAGGAATAAATAATTTCTAACGACGAATTCGGTGGCATACCAACGATCTCTCAAATACGTAGCTAATACGTTCTACACAATAGCGTTGTTATGTACCTGCAGAAGATTCATTTCAGCCCAAATCCCAATGAATGCATAAAAGCAGTAAATTTTTATCCACACGCTCTACACGAATCCCCAGATACGTGTACAACGGTAGTAACTACCCGAACCATCGTCCTATTGACGGCATCGCCTCAACAGACGGAAGACCCATACATGAGATACCTTTGTAAAACATGCGTAGAACATGTAATTACTCCAGCATCATATAAGCATTCACCCTAGATCGGCGGTGTATCCGATCATGCTCTCACAACTCACACTTACCGAGGCGTAGAGGCAAATGATCCATACATTACCACTCAAACAAGTGGCACTCATACAATAGCATGCCGTATGAGCGATTTAAAGAGAAATATGATGCAAGAACCCCGATCGAAGATTTTAATTAAGCCACCTAAAGTCCTTAACTGGGCATAAAGGATATGATCACTTGCACACTTTAGATTTTGAAAATCACGTTTTCCCAAATGCCTTTTTGTTTTAAATACACTTATGAACAGTAACACGCTAAACCATGCTCTGATGCCAGCTGTAACAGAACCGACCAATTATACGAAATTAAGTAAGAAAATCATCCGCATGAAAGCGGGACGATTGAGCAAACTTAAGCCCGTATAACCGGTAGTCCGTGAAATCACGAAGGATTTCAAACCAACTTCCATTCTAGCCAAGATCGTAATAAGTTTAGCGGTCACCATCACATATTACATAAAAGTTCGCAATCTCAGATACATCAGAGTTTAAACATAGTTATTACAAAACCAGTTCGAATAAAAGTAGCGGAAGCCATTTGTTCAAACCACACACACTCACGCGGAGTTCAAATATAGTGCCAGCGAATGATCATCTCCAACAAAAGCATTAGACGAGACGTAAGGAATGACCATGCCCATGGTCCTAAGCATCACCCATCGCAGGATACTGTGCAGTTGATACGATGAGCGTAATACATCCGCCCATCTGCAACAAGTGGGAATAAAACCCTGAGTATGAGAAGGTACTCAGCTAGACTTACCCGACATAACCGAAAATAAAGGACACCAAGGATTATGAAGGGCTTTATAGTAGGGTAGCTGACTCATTTGCAAAAGAAACATTTTTAGCATTTCAAGAACCCTTCTAAAAGCATTATTGTCAAGTTAATTATTATTAACCTATCGACTAGATTTGCACCTATACTAGAGCAAACATGTGATTAAGCGAGATAATGATAACCACCGATCATTAAACAACTTCCATAACTGTCATATTCACTATAAGCGTCCAAGTGTTCCATAAACATTTACTACGATGAAGTAACTCAAGTCAAGTGCTCACTATCTGAGAGCGATGGCGATTCGAATCGATTCCTAACCGGTGGTGATTTATTCCTTACACAAACCTCACTCACCCGCTAAAGTGAGATATTGATCACCGAAGTCAACTTTCCGTGTATCTCGAGTTTGCCGGGAACCACATGTACCCGGTGGTCGACCGATCGCACTTTGGTCTTATCATCTCGCCCGTGTCCTACCACACCTGCTTTCCAAGACAAGGGTCTTGCTGCGGGCAATCTACTCGCCCAAAATCTCCCGGCTTCATGGTCGGAAGGTACTTTATCCGCCAACTAAATGGAAGGCATGCGTTCAACATGACTCGAGGCCCAACAACGGTCGGGTCCTTAATCGACACCTGAGACGGAAACACTACGGTCCAAAACTCGCAAGTCCTCCGTCCGTCTCGAACTTCATTTAACACTTAGTTATACCATGACTTCATAGTCATCCAAGCAGATCCAGGTAACCACCTATAGCTCGCAGTGACAGAAATCACCCGACTTCTACCGGTCTAAGCCCGGCTAAGCATTGACTCGATTGCGGATACCGTGGTAACAAGGATATAGTATAACAAAGGTAAACAAGGTATAATGCAAAGAACGGTTGCAAACAACTCCCGAACGTAATGCATCAATTAAAGTAAAGCATTTAATTAAATCATTGCAAACCGGAGAAAAAATGCTCTCGGGCTTGCCTCTCTCGAAGGAGCTCGGGACGGTGATCGGGGCACTCTAGAAGTTCCTCAACGTCCTCCTCGTCGGCTTCTCGCTTCTCTGCACGCACTCGAACTGCTCCTCGGGCTCCTCGGGTATGACGACTGGGTTCTCGGTTTGCGATCCTGTATGATGCAATGCGTGTAAGTGCTTATGCAATCGGTGCATCGGATGAGATGAATACAATGGATATGTTTGAATGCAAGGTAGTCAACATCATCCAAGAAAATATACTACAAGCACATGTCATCTACTGCATTCTCTTCTACTACTAATATGTTAAGCCAACACATCTTATTAAATGCTTCAAAGATACACCAAAGTTAACATTATTAACTAACTTGCATTAAAGAGGATTATTTTATTTCATTTTAAACTAGGGCTACAACAGCAACCTATATTTCTGGTGCTTATAAAAATCTAAGAAAATTACAGTAGCATAGTACAACTCTAAGTAGACTACCATAAAATTTTCATGGCGTTTGGATAAGTAAAATAGTCTACACAAAAATGACAAGCTATGGCATGATCATGAACATGAAAATACTTTGTACTGTGAAAAGTATCAAACAACAGAATTAGTATTTTTCCTATGTTCTTCACAGCATACAATGACTGTACAAAATTTATCACATGCATGTTTTATACAAAGTTTGCTCTCTAGCTAAAATAACAAAAATCAGCCATTAAAGGTACTTGAACTACACCTCAAAAATTTTCCACAACACATGCATGAAACCTATTTTTCCTAGGAAGTACATGACATAAGAAGATTAACAAACTTGGAACCATATTTTTCTGAAGCCTATAGAATTTTCTACATATTTTTCAAGTTATCAGCAATATACATGATTAAATAAAATTCTACAGCAAAGTATCTCAAAAATGACATGCAATAATTTTCGCAAGTAGATCTGCTGATAAGGAACCTAGCAAAATTTGTTTCAATAAATTTGGAGCAAATTTGAGCATACAACCATTTTCCAAAGCATTTCACAGAAATATGAAAAATCATTCCTTAAACTCTTTTAAAGAAATCAGCTGACAAAACTGCTGGGTGCACCCGGTGCTGTGCACCCAGATCCGATCCAAGGCGCTGACGAGCGGGCCCCCACGGTCAACGGCCCCCACCTGTCGGTCAGACCGAGACAGGGGCGGCGCTGACCGGCCAGCTCTCGTCGACGACGAGGTCCTCGGCGAAACAGAGAGCACCAACGTGCTCCCCAAGATAAACCGAGTCGGATAGAGGTGAATAGGGAGGGGCGGTGCAGGGGGAAAAGGCTCGGCGACGGTAATGGCAGAGCGGCGGCGCGGGTCGTCGCCGGTGGAGCATCTCCGGCCACGGCATGGTGAAAGGAGGCGCTCGGGAGACTCAACGTCGCCGTGCGGTGCTTGTGCGCGCGAAGTCAAGGTAGGAAGAGGAGCGGAAAGGGGGAGTCCACGGGAGCGGAGCTCACCAGCGAGCTCGGCCGTGCTCCGATGAGCAATTCCCAAGGACGGGATGCTTACCACGGCAAAGTAGCGAGAGCACGGGGTGCGTGGGGTGACGGCAGAGCTGTAGGCGAGACGGAGTGGTCACCAGCGAGCTGAGGTGGCCGAGCGAGCGAAGCTCGGCAAGGCAGCGGTCTTGTGATGGCTATGGCGGTGGCATGCGGTGAGAGGAGAAGTGAGGAGCGCTGGAATGCGGTGGGCGCGTGGGGATTCAAGTCATGGCCAGCAGTGCCAGAGCTGCTGCGGCGCGTGGACGCGGTGTCAGGCCGTCGTCGACGGGTGGCGCCATCTGTGTGGGCAAGCCTCGACGCAGTCGGGGCGTGGCGCGTGCATGACGTGGCGCTGGTGTGCTGGGAGAAGGAGCAGGCACACTGGCTGGGCCAAGGTGAGGTGAGGTGGCAGCAGGGGCTTCATTGGGCGGGCTTGACCGTGGGCGGAGAGTGGTGAGCTGACCCTTGAAGGAGGAAAAAGCCTTTTTCATTTGTATTTTCAAGGAATTTTTAAATGCCATCTTTCAAATATTATTTTGAGCAAGAAAATGACATCTTTTGAAAATGTACCAAAAATAAAAGTTGATTAGAATTTAATTTTCTACAACTTTGCTTTTATGACCACAGCCAAATTCTTTCTAGATTTTGAATTGCAAGGTCAAAGTCCACGTTTAACTCAAAACCCTAATTTTTGGGAATTTATTTTTGAAGCCAAATTTTGAATTAATTTGAATACAAATCTTGCTCCAAAAATTGAACTAAACATTGCTAGATGATTTACAATAGTAGCCAAACATGTTTCACTAACCTAGCAAGCAAAATCAGGACAGAACAACTCTTAAACAGGTGTATGCAACATTCAGGTTTCACACATGTTTTAAATGTTTCGAAGCAGTGTTTCAATTGTTATTTACATGATTAGGCATGTATGATTAGGATGCTTGATGATGCATGATATGTATGATTAGCAGTGCCTAAATGTAGGCATAACACCGGGGTGTTACAAAGGGGGCGGTGCGGCAGCGAATGCGTGGTGATGCCTCAACAGCCAGATGCGATTGCCATGGGGAAGAGCACGCATGTTGGGCTGGTCGCTGCGCAGGCCCATGAAGACAGCGTCTGGAAGGGGGGTGGGCATCCGTAGCCAAGTATTAACATAAACGAAATATTACTTTTTCTGTTCCAAATTGTGAGCCATTTTGTCTTTTCTATGAATACAACTTTTGCTACAGCAAAGTTATAATTTTGAACGGACATAGTACTAAAAATATGGCGGCGTGTTAATAATTTAAGAAAAACATTATTATATGCTAATCTAAATAGTGAATAATTGCTCATTTATTAAAAAACACTGTGTTTACAACGATTATGTCGTGGGACGGCAGCTAATCTAAATAGTGAATAATTGCTAATTTATTAAAAAGCACTGTGTTTACAACGACAATGACGACAGTCGACAAGATTATCTCGTGGGACGGCTACACATCCACTTACGCATGTTCTTGAACATAGTACCTGATAAGAACGTAGCAGGGCGTGGTCAGTCATTGTCGTTGAGTTGCAGATACACTTCCTGGCTCGCCACAGCGCTACCCACTTTGTTGGACAAGGCGAGAAACACGACACAAGCCTTCCTGAGGCCGTGGCAGTACTGTGATGCGTGTCAGCCAGAGCCAGCGTGGTCTCCGCATCCTTAGCGTCAAGGCTCTTGCACAGAATGCCTTCGCACATCAGCTTCAACCGTTCCACGGAGTACCTATCCGCAGCCACAAGTAGGTGTTTAACCATCTCCTTGCGGTCGCCAGCGTCGAACCCTTCCATGGACGGCATCGAGTCCATGTATATGAAGTGAAGCAGCGCCCTGAAAACAGCAGGCTGCATGTCCTCGATAGCTATGCTGCACTTGCTTGCTGCATCGTCGTCGTCGTCCTCCCGCATTGGCCCGTAGAACTGCGCGTCGAACACCGGCGACCTCATCGCGAGCACGATCTTGTGCGCCGGGAAGAGCTCGTCTCCAACCCTGAACGTCACGTCCGCTCCCTTCTTCCCCTCGAGCAGTTTCGCGAGGCTGCCCGAGAGGTCCGAGGGCGGCACGCGCCACAATGAGAGAAAAGTTTGACAAAGAGTAATGCAGACCTCATAGGAAGCTATTTCGACCAATGGGACCTCTCAAAGACTAACCCAAATATTTTCTCGTCTAATCTTGTTTGCCAAAGAAATCCAACGCATAACTAAAAATAAACCAAAGCCTCTCGCAACACGACGGGCTGTCTCTTGAAGGCTCCCCCGCTACAGTTGAGAGAGGCGAAAAAAGGGGATCTCGTCACCGCCGGCGGAGTTGGCGGTCTCTTCCACCTCTGATGGCCTGCGGGACGTCGCGAGGTGGCGGAGATCGTCAGTCTCTTGCCGGCGGGTGGGGTAGGTGGTAGTTTAGGTCCTAGGGTTTCTAGGTTTAGGTTTCCTGGCGGCGTCGGCGAGGTGGTGGTGACGACGTCGCGGCGGAATAAGTCCTCTCGGACTCTTCCTCGCCCCGTTGAAGCTCCACTCCGGCGACGACGGCGAGCCCGTGGAGGTGGTACTCCCTGTGTGGAGTCCCTGTGTAGGAGTTAGTGGTCGGCGGCCAACAATCTCGGCGTTTGCCGAGGCATGGTGGGTGCCGGCATTTTGCTTCGAGGATGGGGAGGCGGCTGTGGGGTCTGCGGCAACGTGGAGGATGGATCGACCTCGACTTCCCCGTGGCGGCGGCCGTTGTCAACGGCGAGCTTCGATCCAAGGCCCAGGGGGCTTGGGGCGCGGCCCCGGCCGACGAGCTTTCAACGACGGCAAATCTCGTTCGTAGAGACGAGTGTCTACTTTGGCTCTTTGCAAAGCCTTTGCGCGATGGAGTCCTCTCGGTTCTGGGAAAGATGGCGCCTTTATGTTCCCGGCGGTGTTCGGCGGCGGCTGATGCAGGCGACCTCGGCGACCACAGGGTTATTGGGCTTGTTTGTAATTTCTGTTTTATCTAGGTCCCTTTGTGTGATTTGGTGGGGACAGCTGTCCTCTTTATCGTACTGTGTCGTATCTGTATTTTTATGGGTCTTTGTACGTATTCCTTAATATGAATACAGGTACGTTTGATCAAAAAAAAAAAACCAAAGCCTCTCAGTGCCTACAGAGAACGTAGAGCTGCATGATCTGACATAAGTTCAGTGGGAATCAGACATCAAAGTATCAAACTCTTTACATAAGCTCAGTGCATCTCACAATCCGATGAGAACTACGACACAATCAAGCAAATCCACATTATCTTTATACCTAAACTAATTTGCCAACAACAACAAAAACCCACCCGTTGTGTTTCCCCTTGTTCATCAGCAGCCTCCTAATCAATTCAACGAACCTACCGGCTCACTCGGCGGTACGTGCTAACGTCCCCGGCAGCTCATCGCCCTCCCTCCGGGGCTGATCCACCTGAACTGCTAGAGTCTCTTTAAGGAAGTCCACCTCTCTCAGTGCCTCCTTGTACATAAGGATGAAAACGGAACGGAAATATCCCGAACCGAACCGCATCGTTTTCTATATTTAATCCGATCGAATCCGCATTTTCTTGTCCGACTTTACCGTTTTCGTTTTCGCATTTGAGATGTTTCGTATTTCAAATGTAAAAGTAGAAAACGGTTTACACAATTTTCGACCGTTTTCTACTTTTCTACTTTTAATTTGAAATATTCCGAATTCAAAATTCGGTTTAAACCGAATTTTATTAACTCGCTACTGCAGTCATCAGCCCAATTACTGGTTGTTCACCACGCAAATTGCGTTATTTTCTTGGTGACTAGCTGTCCTCTCTTATAGACGATGCCCAGTCTCATCTCTCTTATTATGTATTTTTGGTCGTGCACTTGTTTAATGCTATGCACTTAAACTAGATCATGCACTTGTTAGTTGTGAACTTGTTATGTGTTTGGCCGTGCACTTGTTTAATGCTTTGCACTGTGGGTCGGTATTTCGTATTGAATTTTCGCATACCGACCGTGTTCGACATAATTCCGCTCGAATTGGTTCGTTTTCGAAATTCTAGATATTCCGTAAGTTCGTGTTCGTTTTCGTGTCCGGTTTGTCCGCTTTCGCTTTCGCTTTCGTATTTCAAATGTAAAAGTAGAAAACGGTTGAGGAGTTTTTCGACCGAGTTCGACCATTTTCATCCTTACTTGTACATGGCGTATAGGATGTCTGCTCCAGCATATCCTTGTCCTGCTTAGCCCTCTGCCTCTCGTGTCTGAGCTCGTCGTAGAAGCCGTGGCACCTCTGCTCCAGCTCCCCAATCTGACCTTGGAGCGTGCTCGTTCACGCCTGCGCCGCGGCAAGCTCTTGCTCGAGTTCGTGTGTCCTCGCCTGGGAAGCGGCGAGCTGCACAAGCTGTGCAGCTGACAGCTCCACCTCACTCGCCCACGCCGCCTCCGCATCGTGCGCACGCGCGTTGCCCCGCCGGCGGTGGTAACGGTGCTCACGGCGCTTGATGAGACTAGGTCGGAGAAACAGGGCTTGATGAACTGATAGGGTGATACCGTGGAGTTGTTGTAGTGGTGTGAGCCTTCTATAGCTGAGGTGAACGTACGAGGCCACCACCGCCCACCGCCTGCATAGAACATGACGACGGGATGAGATACTTAAAAAAAAAAAGCTAAAACAACTTATAATTTGATATTTGTTCAGTTTAGTTCAGTTTAGAGTTATGATATATTCCCATTTAAAAATACCATGTTGAATAGTAGTGTTTTTAAGACATGTTTTAATTTGATATTCATGAACATTGAATTTTATAACCAAATAATTAAAGGTCGATTCTACAGTGGTGTCTACCAGTTTAGACTTGCGTAAGCGTGCAGGCTGAAATACTTGATAAAAATATCCAGTGTGTTAAAGTTGTCTACATGATTTTGCAGCAAGCAGATACAACTCTTAACCAAGCAGTGATGTTATGAGGCGGACCATCATCAGGGATGGTAATAAATTGCCATAACATTAATTAGAAATATGCAAATTACTGCACAGTATGTTATTAAAAATGAGCTGAATATTTCAGAATCTTCGCCATCTTGAGGGCGATAATTTCGAAATGTGCATTGCATAGTAGTGACACGCTGACAGCAAACAAAACATAAAATATTGCAAATACCAGAGAAACCAACCTTGATTAAGGTGGGTTTGTTAGTGACCACCTTTGCTTCCTTAATAGCTACACGGATGTTTCTCAGCAAGTGCCAACCCAACTGCAATGGCGATATCCTGACCAAGAGGTCCTGCGGAACAACCATATGGAAATCGAAACTTAAGTTTTACAGTGCAGCTGGGAAACTTGCAAGTGTTAGCTCTGTAGAGAAGAAAACAGACCAGAGGTAACTTCAACTCCTGGAGTCTCAAAAGTTTTCTGGGTGTCCCGGTGTGCTGCTTCCCCATTGCCTGAACTGCTTCAAGTCCTCCTCCTGCAGCAGTATACCGGCCGTTAAAACAAATTCAGTCGCACAAGAGGTAATGTACATGTTCCATATGAAACAGCAAGCAGTTCTAGTCTGATAAGTAGTATATGTGCAGGTGTGATGTGTTCAATGAAATGCCAATCAGTGACGGAGCTCAACCAGAATTTTAGGTGGGGCGGACCGTGCACACGTAACTGCGCTACCGGAATCCTCAAATTTGCCAAGTGTTTTTATGTTTGCCGAGTGTATTCCCTCGGACACTCGGCGAACAAGTTCTTTGCCGAGTGTAAAAAAAACACTTGGCAAAGATAGGGTTTGCCGAGTGTAAAAAAAACACACTCGGTAAAGATAAGATTTGCCGGGTGTAAAAAAAACACTCGGCAAAGAAATAAAATCTTTTTTTCTGGAAAAGAAGGAGAAGAAAAAATATGAAAAAAAACTTTGCCGAGTGTTCAGATCTAGAACACTCGGCAAAGAAATAAAATCTTTTTTTTCTAGGAAAAAATGAGAAAAAAATAAAAAAAAATACTTTACCGAGTGCCCAGATCTAGGACACTCGGCAAACAAAAAAATATCTTCTTTAACACACCCAGCGCCCCACCCTCCTTCCTCCACACCCGCCCCCCCGCGCCCCCTCCCCTTCTTCCTCAGTCGCGACGATCCGGCCCCAGCGCCCCCTCCCTCCCCTTGGCGCCCTCCCCTCCTCTCTCTCTCTTCCCGGCGGGCGCCACCCCCCTCTCCCTCTCTTCCCAGATCCGCGGCCTCCCCTCCTCTCTCTCTCTCTTCCCGGCGCTTCCCGGATCCGGTGGCCGCCCTCTCTCTCCTCTCTTTCCCGGATCCGCGGCCTCCCCCTCCTCTCCCTCTCTTTCCCGACGCTTCCCCGGATCCGGTGCGGCCGCCCCCTCCTCTCCCTCTCTTCCCCGACGCTTCCCCGGATCCGGCGCGGCCGCCCCCTCCTCTCCCTCTCTTCCCCGGATCTGGCGAGGCCGGCCCCTCCTCTCCCTCTCTTCCCCGGATCCGGCTCGGCCGGCCCCTCCTCTCCCTCTCTTCCCCGGATCCGGCTCGGGCGGTGGTGGCGTGGTGGTGGTGGGCGGCGGTGGCGTGGTGGTGGTGGCTCGTTGCGGCGGCCGTGAAGCTAGGGAGCGGAGGCGAGACGGAGGGCGTGAAGCTAGGCCACGGCGCAGGGGATGGGCGCCGCCGAGGAGACCGGCCGGTGGTGGCTTTTTTAGTTTTTTTGGCCGGCGGAGACCGGCCGGTGGTGGCTTTTTTCGAAAAAAAATGTTTGCCGAGTGTATTTTGGGCACTCGGCAAACTAGCGTTTGCTATTAAAGGGTTTGTCGAGTGTCGTTTGCCCTTTGCCAAATGTTTTTGGGACGCAAAGCTCCTGTATCCGGTAGTGCTAATAGTACGAAATAAGAGAGAACATATGCACACCATATTTTTAATAATATCACACAGCTAGACGCATATAAATAGTCAAATTTAAAGATCAATTGAATATAGTACCTTCTATTA